TTGAGAAAATTATTAAATTATTATTCTGTAATGTTTTTTTAATGGAGCTTAATATATTCTGTTTGTTTGGTCTACAAAACCTACTAAAAGTTTTATGTGTGTTTGGTTTGTAAAAATTGTTTTAAAAAAAATTATGGGCTTTAGTGGCGGTTTTATCCGCCACAATACTACAGTCCATTAGCGGTTTTAACCGCCACAATTCTGTAGATCGTTTATTTTTTTTATGATTAGATGCGGTTATGTCCGCTGCAATTCTGGAAGCGTATAGTGGTTATAACCGCTGTGATACTCAGCATTCCACAACACTACCCCGCCGGTCTTGAAACCGCTGCGAAATGTCTTTGCAGCGTATTGTAATCACGGCGGACATCCAGCGGTCATAAAATCGCTGCAAATAAATTTGTGGCGGGTAAAACCGCCAGGAAAGGTTGAAATTTGTGCTGGGAAAGCCTTATTTTTTGGTAGTGTTGACTCAAAATCAATTCGACTAATTTGCACTCCTAGTGATCTAATTGTCGGTGTAAATGAAATTAGTGGATACCTAACACTAGGGGTGTCAATTTCAGACAAAATTCATCGGAAATGCCCAAAATCTATCAAAAATTAGCATTTCCGTCAGATTTTCGATGAATGTTTTTTCGATGGTAAAAAGCCGAAAAATGTTACCAGCGTAAAATAATCTGACAGAAATGTTTTCGGTGGATATATGACTGAAAAATATGTCGGAACGTTGTCCGGCGGATATACTACGATGGAAAAAAAAAAAAAAACACCAATTAAACTTAATTTAAATCAAAACAATTATTATATTTAATTTAAGAATAAATTTTTAAAATTTTAAATTGATTTAATATAAAATTATTATTAATAAATATTTTTAATAATAATTTTTCATGAAATTTAAAATTTTCAAAAATTCCATCGGAAAATCTATCGGAAATTCCACCAAAATATTCATCGTTAATACGCGGAAAAATTCACCGAAAATTCTAACTGATTTTTTTCTGCCAGAAATTTGTGTTTTTCCTGTAGTGATGTAGTATTCAAAGATAAATATCTTATATGATCTTAAGATAACATTCTTATATCTTTGATTTTTCAAATCAAAATCATAATTTTATTTGGTTGTTGGTTTCAAAAATTTAATGTACTTAGAGTTATTTTTTATAGCAACTTCTAAAAATGTTACATTCTCATAAATAATTTTACAACTATATTTACAAAAAAAATTACAACCATTCTAAACAAACCCTTAAAGATCCACTTCATTTCTGCTCCATGTATGCTCATGTGATCATAAAATGTCTCTGCATTATTCTTGAAGGATGCTCATCTGATAGAGAAATGCAAACAAGATCCTCAACATAAGAGGCCTTTTGAGAATGTCCTTATTTCGGACATCTAAATCCTTGATATTTAGGGTAGTCAATGGGCATGGTTGAACCTGCCTACGGTAGCAGGATTGTGTTACTTGTTGAGCTCCTCGTAGTGTACCGATTTTGAGATTATAACTTATGATGTCTATGGTTAAGTGCAAATGATCATAAAATTTTTATATATGTGAGATAGAGATAGAGATAGAGAGAGAGGTCATACAAATAAGACAGTGACACCTACTGTGGAAACGGGGTTTGACTGTTCCTCTCCAAAGAATTAGATGTCGTTTTCTATCGTTTTGCATTGAAGTATTGGTAGCTCTCTTGGTTTTTTTCGCTGAGCATCTAAAGGCAGGAGATGCGGTCTGAAGCAATGCTGGACTTTTGAAACAATTCTTTTCTGGATAGTGGTGAACAAATGCTGGAAAAGATAAATGTATTTTTTGCGATCCTTTTATTTTATTCAGCTTATCTTTTCTGCCAATTGATTCTTTGTAAGAAATATCTTTGAGAAAATTCTTCTGAACATTCTGTTTGGAAGAACTTCGGCTTTTGATTATTTCGCTACTTGAATGAGCAACAATATGTTACTTTGAAAACAAAGAAAAATTTTAAGGATTTTTCTCTTTCCCATAAGCATATAATGTCTTTTACATAAAATGAAATTACAAAATAGTTGAATTTGTTATGGAATAAATGAATTTTTTATTTTTTATCCAAGCTTTATTCATGCAAAACTTATATTCAAAAGATTTACAGTAGTAGAGAGAATGTTCAACTTATTAGCATTTTACAAATATCTAACAAATGCACCGATAAAACTCGGTCAAAAATACTAGAATTTTCAAAAGTAAAATCCAAAAAGGAAAAGATCATTGTGTCTATCCCAGTGGAAAAGGTTCCACTTGTATGTATTGTCAATTACAAATGAAGCATTTCCCAGTGACTGAGGAATGTATTGATGCAATATAGTAGACATATAGAATAAATCTTATGATAGAATTTGGAAGAGCAATATAGCATGGGACTGGTCTTTATGAGATCATTTGTAATTTATTAATCACACTCCTTCATGGAGGGAAGACTAGATACTAAGAAGTATAGCATAGATCATAGTGCTGACATCTGGTATCCATGACATACATTGGCCTTATAGACGTTGGCATGCATTGACATTGTTAGTGATGACAAGTAATAAAATTAGTGAAATCAACAAGTGTCATTAATTAAGTGATTATGATTGGTAATCAAGTGATGGAGGTTAGAGGACTATAGCCGAATGATGGTTGTAGAGGATTATAGTCAAACAATAATGATTGGGAGACCATAGTTAGGTGATTGTTTTCAAGCAAGGATCCTAATTGGGCAATGTTGCTCAAGTGCCCAAAGTTGAACAATTATTTTTAAAGGACTGCAGTCGATGATTAGATTATCAAAAGACTATGGTTGGGCAATGGTAGGTAGAAGAATATAGTTCGAATCAAATTCAATCGTTTCTTCTTCATCTATATTCTTTAAGATGACTTTCCATTTATCCATTTTGTTACGTGGTTTATTCATTAGCACATAACTAGGATCTACTGGAGTATACTCCTTTTAGCTATTTACCTTTAAAATTCCACTTTTTTATTTCTTCTTTCTCCTTTTCTACCCACTTATTATTATTCTTCTTTCTTCTTTTGATGTGGTCTCACGATACCTTACTGTTCCACAAGCACATCTTATACAACACACGCTACATTTTCACCTCCACTACCGATAGTTTCTGCTATTATACTAGTTTTGGGACTGTAGTACAGCCATTAGCCTTATTTTCTATTTTTCTTCTTTTATTAACTCTCCTTACACGGTATAGATAGGAATAGTGCTAATGCAAAAGCACATACTGGTTATTATCAAGCTACCTTCAGGTTACGAAACCTTTGCTCTCTGTTTTTTTTTATTTTGTGTTATGTTTTATCTCCAGCTTGCAGGTTGCTCCTCGTCAACTGGTATCATAGCTCGGTTGGGGGAAGGTGAGTGGAGGTGCGACGTGCTGCGATGGCCGAGAGTAGCAGGCACAACGTCCTTGACGGCGGTCAGGGAGAAAACGCAATGTGGCGGCACAATCCAGGATACTCAAGCAACTAGAGGAGCTCAAAGCTGAATTCCGCCGATTTTCCACAGAGATGCGTTTGGAACTTCAAAGCCTCAAAGTAGGTGCTGGTAATACTCAGGCGGTGGCTCGAGAAATTTCGCCGGACCGCCGAATGGGTATTCAGAGGGGACGTAATGGGAGGCGTCTGAACCCGGATCCACACATTGACGGACCTGAGCTTACAGCTTCAGATATGGAAGCTGAATTCCAACACAGCAGAGATATATGTCCGATTCAACTGAAGATGAAATACCTGTGAATAGACTACACAGGTTTGGTGTGCCACATAGACCTCAAGGGGAGTTTCGAGTCAAAATGGACATTCAGTTCTTTGAAGTCCGCTTACATATTGAGGACTATCTTGATTGGGAAAGGTCAGTTGAAACATTCTTTGAATACATGGACATTCCCGCTGACAAACAAGTGAAATATGTAGCATGAAAATTAAAGGGGGGAGCAAGCACTTGGTGGCAACAAGTGCTACAATCAAGATATAGAGAAGGTAAGAGCTCGGTCCGAAATTGGGCACGAATGAAGCAACTACTTCGTAGCCATTCTTACCAACTGATTTTGAGCAATTGTTATATATGCAATACCAGCAGTGTCACCAAGGAAATAGGAGTGTTAATGTTTACACTGAAGAATTCTACCGCCTCAGTGCTCGGAACAATCTCAACGAAACCAACAATCAAATTGTGGCACGTTAAATCGGCGGGTTGAAGGATAATATCCAAGACAAGTTAGAGTTAAATTCTGTATGGAATTTATCACAAGCGGTGAACTTTGCCTTGAAAGCTGAGATGCAATTGAATAGGCCTACCCGCACTTTTACAAACAGACAACATTTTTCTTATTCCCCTACAGCTAAAGGCAAATCACACACCAACACTTATAATAAGCCAACACATAAGAGCAATATCACTTCTGGAATGCCTCCGCAAGTTATCGAAAATAAACCCTTAGCCAAGTCAAAGGCTCCGTTTAAAGACAACCCCTACAGCAGACCGAACACTTTAAAGTGCTTCAGATGTTTTCAACCGGGTCACAAGTCTAATGAGTGTCCAAACAGCCAACAAGTGCAGATTTTAGAAGGCGAATCTGAAGCCCAGCAAGCTATAGCTGAAGGAGATGATGAGGATGAATATGAAGAGGTTGAAGGGGATGATGGGGAACCGGTGATATGTGTCCTGGAAAAATTGCTACTAGCTCCTCGTCAGTCTAATGCTTCTCAACAAAATGCCATCTTCAGGACTAAGTGCACTATCAATGGCAAAGTGTGTGATCTTCTAGTTGATAATGGTTGCACCGAAAATATTATCTCACGATATGTTGTTAATGCATTGCATTTAAAGACCACAAAAAATCCGTGTCCTTACAAGATTAGTTAGGTGAAGAGAGGTATGGAGATACTTGTATATGATATGTGTAGAGTTAATTTCTCCATTGGAAAACACTATACTTGTGAAGTGTTGTGTGACGTCATAGACATGGACGTCTGCCATCTCATCCTCGGACGCCCATGGCAGTTTGATACAGGTGTTCTCTATGATGGGCGTACAAATTCCTATTCATTTGAATGGAAGAATAGAAAGATGCGACTCCTTCCCAATTCACATAAAGTGCAACCCTCAGATAGCAAGGATCAGCCAGCTTTAAATTTTGTCACCGGGAATGCAATTGTACACTTAGGACGGGAGGCCAAAGCCTTACTAGATGTGTTTGTGGCTGAGGAGAGTTCCTTAAATAATTCACCCATATACCCAAAAGAAATTCAGCAGCTTTTGGCAGACTTTGAAGATGTTGCTCCCACAGATCTTCCCAGGCAACTTCCGCCATTGCGTGCCATACATCATCAGATTGATCTGATTCCAGGTGCTACCTTGCCCAACTTGCCTCATTACAAAATGAGTCCCACCGAGCACAAAGTTATACAGCAAATTGTAGATGATATGATACAAAAACAAATGATCCAACCAAGTCTAAGCCCATGTGCAGTTCCTGCATTGTTAGTACCGAAGAAAGATGGATCGTGGAGAATATGCATTGATAGAAGAGCTATCAATAAGATCACTATTAAGTACCGATTTCCTGTATCACAGTTAGAGGATATGCTAGATCATTTGACAGGCGCCACCATATTCACTAAGCAAGCTAGATCTGCGAAGCGATTATCATCAAATACGGATCCAACCAGGCGACTAGTGGAAGACCGCTTTTAAAACTCGTGATGGTCTTTTCGAGTGGAAAGTGATGCCATTTGGGATATGTAATGCCCCTTTCACATTCATGCGCCTTATGAATGAGGTTCTAAAACCTTTGTTGGGTAAGTGTTGTGTCGTCTATTTCGATGATATTTTGGTCTTTAGTCCTTCGCTGAAAGACCATTGGAACCACCTCACTGAAGTTTTTAAACTACTACGAGAACACAAGATGTATTTAAATAAGGCCAAATGTGAATTTGCTGTGCCCACAGTGCACTTCATTGGCTTTATAATTTCGGCACAAGGTGTTAGCGTAGATCCATCAAGGTGGCTGCAATCCGGGAGTGGACGAACCCCCGCACACTTACAGAAGGCCGTAGTTTTCACGCACTGGTTAATTTCTATAGACGTTTTATCCGCGGGTTTAGTGTAATTACAGCTCCCATCACTAACTGTTTGAAGCAGCCGACTTTTGTGTAGAATAAAGAGCAGCAAAATAGTTTTGAAACCATCAAAACAGTTTTAAGTTCAGCCCCCGTGCTTGCTATACCTGATTTTAACAAGCCATTCAATGTGGATACGGATGCCTCCGGAATTGGAATATGTGCTGTATTGTCTCAGGACAATAAACCTATTGAATTTTTTAGCGAGAAATTGAGCCCGGCAAGACAAAAGTGGTCTGTATACGAGCAAGAACTTTATGCTGTTGTCCAAGCCATTAAACATTGGGAGCATTATTTATTACACCAGGACTTCGTTCTATGTAGCGACCATCAATCTCTACAGTATTTGAATACACAGAAAATATTAACCGAATGCATGCGGGGTGGATAATATTCTTGCAAAAATTTAGTTTTGTCCTGAAGCATAAGTCGGGAAGTCAAAATAGGGTGGCAGATGCTTTGAGCCGGCATTTGATGTTGATAACTAAACTTCAAACCGAAATAACAGGCCTAGAAACACTCAAAGATTTGTATTGCCAGGATCGTGACTTTGCTGAACTGTGGGGCATTGTTTTACCATCAAATCATGGAAGGGCTATTCAATACATCATGGTTTCCTTTTTAGAGGCAATGCTTTGTGCATACCCTCTTCATCTGTTTGACAACAGTTGATAAAAGAAATGCATGGCGGAGGATTAGCGGCACACCTGGGGCGAGAGAAAACTTTGGAACAGATGCAATAAAAGTTTTATTGGCCACACTTGAGGCGGGATGTCACTCGTTTGTTGGAAGGTGTCCGGTATGTCAAGCTTATAAAGATGTTCGACAAAATGCCGGTTTGTACACACCATTACCGGTTCCTATGTCTATTTGGGAGGACTTGAGCATGGATTTCATATTGGGCCTACCACGCACGAATAAGGGTGCTGACTCAATAGTGGTTGTAGTTGATAGATTTTCAAAAATGTCCCATTTTATAGCTTGTAAGAAGACGTGCGATGCTCTTGGCATAGCCCGCTTGTTCTTCCGGGAGATCGTTAGATTACATGAACTTCCTTGCAGCATCACGTCCGATCGAGATGTAAAATTCATCAGTCACTTTTGGCGAGAACTTTGGAAGCAACTCAAAATTGAAATCAAACTCAGTTCGGCATATCACCCCCAAACTGACGGGCAAACGGAGGTGGTCAATAGAACTCTTGGTAACATGCTTAGATGTTTGGTCCAAGATCACCCAAAGCAATGGGATGAAGTATTGAGCCAAGTTGAATTCGCCTACAATTCAATGCCAAACCGGTCAACTGGGGCATGCCCATTCAGCATAGTTTACACCAAATTTCCAAATCATGTGGTTGACTTGGCTATCATCCCAAAATGCCACAATGCAGCTGCAGGTAAGTTAGCTGAAAATTTTAAACTAATGATTGACGATGTCCGTAGAAAATTGGAGCTGTCCAATGAATCATATAAATTGAAGGCTGATCTACACCGTCGCCGGAAGATATTCGAACCTGGTGAATTGGTAATGGTTCGACTTAGAAGAGAACGATTTCCAACTGCATCTTATTCAAAACTCAGTCCACGGAAGATTGGACCATTTGCAATCAAGCAACGTATTAACGACAATGCATACGTTATTGATCTTCCATCAGATATCCTCACATCCAACACCTTCAACATTGAAGACCTCTTCCCGTACTTTCCATCTGATGATGCGGCTACCGAACTGCTTTCGCCGAGTGCGGACTCTTCTGAAGCAACAGGGAACTGATGTGGTCTCACGATACCTTACTGTTCCACAAGCACATCTTATACAGCACACGCTACATTTTCACCTCTACTACCGATAGTTTCTGCTATTATACTAGTTTTGGGACTGTAGTACAACCATTAGCCTTATTTTCTATTTTTCTGCTTTTAGTAACTCTCCTTACACGGTATAGATAGGAATAGTGCTAATGCAAAAGAACATACTGAATATTATCAAGCTACCTTCAGGTTACGAAACCTTTGCTTTCTGTTTTATTTTTTTGTTTTGTGCTCTATTTTCTCTCCATCTTGCAGGTTGCACCTCGTCATCTTTGCTACATGATTCATAATAATATCTACAATAATAGGAGTGCCTACCACATTGATTTGTCTCACCATCTTCATCCCTAACGTATGTAAAGGTTGAGCTATGCACATTGTGATGAGAAGAAATGTAACCATCCTGAGAGAGTTGATAGAAAAAAAAAAGAAAAAAAGAGATACATGACTTGAATAATCATTAGAAGTTGTTGTTGAACTCAGAGAAGGTAGACGACTTTAAATCACATGAGATGAAGAGATCAAAGTCAGAGGCTCTAGAAGCACTCGTAGTGCTGCTCACCAGTCAAAAGAATATCGTCAAAGTGGGTAGAGGAATTTTTAAGAAACTTGCACCATACATCTGATAATGCTGATGTAGCTGATCATTTGGAGAACGTTCTTCTATCCCTCAAAATAGAATAAGCTACTATCGAGTCTCAATATTCTCCTACTGAAGGATTTTAGTTCTTTAAGAATTTAGATTTCGACTAATCAAAACTATCAACACATTTTTTACAGTAGTCCTCTCGATAGACTATTGAATTTTTTTCTTTGTTCTCTACAATCTCTTGTGAACAATAGTCAAATGTCCAAGGAGGCAAGCAGTCATTTGGAGAACATTCTTCTAGCTCTCAAAATAGAATAAGCTACTATCGAGTCTCAATATTCTCCTACTGAAGGATTTTAGTTCTTTAAGAATTTAGATTTCGACTAATCAAAACTATCAACACATTTTTTACAGTAGTCCTCTCGATAGACTATTGAATTTTTTTTCTTTGTTCTCCACAATCTCTTGTGAACATTAGTCAAATGTGCAAGGAGGCGAGCAGCCTATGACCCACACATCCTCCTCCCCTTGAGCAATGAAGTGAGGGTGGATCCTACTACCGCCAAAGAGTGGAGGGGCTTGGGAAGCTCAAACTCAGTGGCCTCCCTAGTAGTAGCATGCAATGGACATGTCATAAACAAGTTTAATTTCCTTATCCACTATTCACCTTGGTGATAGTTTTCATTATGCATCTACATCTTGGATATTAGTACATATCAATGCAAAAGAAGAAGAAATCTTGAATGTTCTACGAGTAGTTAGAGGAGCAAAGGTCTTAGTGATGACCGACTTCTCAATTTCTTATTGATGTTGACTGTCTTAGGGCGCCCAACTACCCTAAAAGAGTAATGGGACTAGTGATACAAATTTCAAGCTTAGTCTCACATTTCATTCTAAACTTCATGATGAGAATCTTCTCAACTACCTTCATGGGTACAATATTAATGAACTTCTGGCCATTAATAGTCATGATTAAGGTGTCGAGAATTAAAAGATTAACTTTCCTGTAAGTTTTTGAATTTTCAAAAATTCCTGAGTCAAACTTCTTATTCCTTGCATTCTAAACTCGTGATTTTAATCCTAATTCTTTTTTTTTTTTGTAATTGAATTAGTTATGGATCCTTTTCTATCATACATAATGAACTATAATGAATATGTAACTAAACTATGGTTTTAGGATAGGAAGGGACTTTAGAAAATTTTAATATTGATAGATTTTATTTTTGGATAATCGATTTCAATTTTTCAATTTTGAGGATTTTATAAACCAAACCTACCAATATTTAGGCTTGAAAAGTGGTTCAAGTTCTATGGGGGTATTGGAAAGATTTTATATTGAATTTTAAGAGATATTTTAAATTTTGTGAAGGAAAATTTAAATTTTGAAAGATCTAAAATTTTGAAAAAAAAATTGAATATTGATTCATATGTTGGAAATTATGAAAAAAAAATAGGAGTGCCTACCCATCAAATTAAGGATTTATAGGGGTTTCTAAAATTCATATGTTGGAAACATATTTCCAAGGAAGAATTAAACATTTCAGCCAATCGAGGTTGGGTAGTCAATGCCTGTGTAGGATGTTAAAATAATTTATAAAAATATAAAACACCAATGTAGATGGAGAGAGGAAACATTTCTAGTAGTGTCACAAAAAAATCTATTCAAAAAATAAACATTAAATTTGAAATTTTTATTTTTGTGATCAAATATGGCATAGAGCATAACATACCATCTCAAAAGATAGTTATTATTGTGAAATAAGTATGAAAATAAAAATAAATTTTAAAAAAATATTCATATACCTAGATTTTTTTTCATAAATAATATGAATAAGATAGGATTTATTTTATTATAGGGTATATATTCCCCATAAAAGAACCCTTTACAACCCTAAAAAGTTGATCTCTTAAGAAAAATCTTAATTAATATAATGGAAAATAATTTGTTAATAACTTTAAAGTTTAGAGAAAGATGTTTTTTTAGAATTTCAAAGGGATTGAATTAAATTTGGAGCACTTCTTTTCAGATACCAGGGGATGAAAAATAAAGACCAATAGATTCTAAGAAGTTGGGGCGTACTCTAAACTCTCTTATATTAAGTTTAAAGTTTTGAAATTTGAATTTAATATTGACTATTTTAATTTATTAAAAGTAAAAGTTAATTCTAACATTTCAT